GACCACAACACGTAGTTGAGACTAAAAGACTTAGATTTCACACAAAGAAATCAGGATGAATGAGGATGCAAATTCGTTTGGTATCAATGTTATTTTCTTTTATTAAGTTTGTTTGTATTTTTGTTAACAAGAGTGATAATAAAAAATGTTCATGGTGCTAAACGAAACAATAATTTGATCTAAATAAGTTTTTTTCTTCCTGATTTGTAAGAAAAAGTTTACGTGATAGAAAAAAGTGAATATTATGTTCGAAATCTGCGTAGCTGAATTATGGAAAATCTGTTATTAAAACCAAAACAACTTTTATGAACTTTAAATTCGCAGTCCTGTGTTATCCTTTTTGTAATGCTTCAACAAACGGATACAAAATTTTCAAACTACTGTTTATAATCGTCTTCTTTAGTACGTTTACTTAAAACTGGAAAATTGGGAAAGAAATTTGGCTTGTAACTACATATTTTGACATTTTAAAATCAGGTGTATTTAGGAAATAAAAAATGCAACTTAATATCATGAATGAAAAAGAATCTGGAATTTTATTGTCATAATCACCTCTCTACAATAAAAAAAGTTCGAAACTAATAACTAAAAAAATCAGTATTATTTTTTACTTTATTGATATATTTTTTGTTGTTCATCAGAATTTTAAAGAATTAATACGATTATATCACCTTTAAAATTTTTTTTAAATATTTAGACAGATCACACAACTCAACAGTTCATGAAAAATGTTTTCTTAGCGTTTGTTCAACTGTAGTTTGACGTTTGTATATCCGTCTAAATACATGAAATTAAATGAAAGACCTACCTTTATTAAAAGCAAGGGACACGTCTTCCATAAAGCATGTCGATGGTACACAAAGTCCTATCTTGGGGTTATTCGACCTCAATACATTGTAAGAAGGTCCCAGTATTCCCTAATTAAAAATAATACTGAGAGTTGCTCAATTTTCATTAGACTGTTTGTTGGGTAAGAGTTCCATATGGCACCCCCAATCAATTT